TATTCTAATCTTTCTGGAAACTACTCCCCATGTGGTGCGATCCCCGGGGTGCGATCCCATTCTGATACTCATAGCATATTTCTGTTTCACCTGAAACATCATCTCAGGACTGAGAAGAAATGAGATGTCATGATGTGCGATCGTGGCATTACTTATTAAGCGAGCCCCAAAAATGTTAAGATTAATTTTGAATTTTACAAAAATTGATGCATCTTTTAAAATTCTTCAAAAATGAGATTGAAACTTCAAATAAAAAATTGAAAGCTCATTTCTTCTATCTAATGGTTATATTTTTATAAGCTTTTTTGGGGGGGGGGGGGTGCCTTCGCACTCATCGCACCCCCCCCCCCCCCTCTGCCGTCCAGAGAGAGAGAGTCCAGAGAGAGTTTGCAAAGCGTGCTCACGGCTTTCCATGGAAAACATCACCAGTTGCAACTAGTGTCTTTTTTTCTTTTTAATTTTTTTTCTTTTTAAAGTTGCAACTAGTCTCTACAACTGTCACTGACTGAAGATCACCTAGACACAGTTACATGTACATTAGGATTCGCGATGGTCAGAACAAGATTGTATTTTTGATAATACAAATGTATTACCTGTAAGCAGGTTTCAACGGATTTTGATACACATTTTTTTGCCGTGTGTCCTATTATGATTACAACCAGCAGTTTCCTAGATAAACATGGCAACCGGGAGATAGTCTTCGGGCTGACATCTCGAAGCTGTTGTTTATGACTTCAATACGGTACGTCAATATTGATTTCCTCGCAAAGTATTCAAAAAACAATTCGTCTTTTGATAGGCTTTTTTCAAAAATTTTACACTTAGCTTACGTCATTTTAATTCATTCAAACCTAAGACTCGTGCAAATTATGTATTGAATTGTAAATTGTATATTTACATTTTCCTCAATTAAAATTATTTGAATGATCATATTTACGATTCAAATGATTTGATATGGTGATCAGAAGTGTGCATTAAACAAAATAGAAGTTCAAACAATACAAATCTGAAATTGCTAGAAGGCATCATGTGCCTCCCCAAGGCCAGAAACATATCTATGCAAATAGATAAACAGTGTCGATCCACGTGATAAATGGCTATAGGTCATAAGCTTGAAAAACTATTTCTAGACTACTCCACGTAGCCTTGCCCAAGTCGGTATTTTTTACTAATCTGATCTTGAATTATTACCGCCGGTCATAATAGAAATCAAGATAAGTAAAAGAGACCGACTTGGGCAAGGCTATACTCCACGGTATATCTTCTGTAATCAAGGTGGTTCAGCAGTTATAAAAACAAGGAAGTATTTGGATTATAAGGAATTAATATTTTGTTTTCATTTGATAATATTCATAATTGGTTCATGGGCATTCCATGCTTTGTTTAACAAATTTGAGACCTTTGTCTCTGATTGTCAAAAGTGAGACCCCCCAAATTGTTTTTTTAAAAGTGAACCCACTCACACCCCAGACCGCATATATAATGTACATTTTGTACATTTTACAGATATCACATCCACCAGGATTCATTATTGGCAAAATAATAGTTCACAAATGAATTTAGCTGTGGGGAACAGCAAAAGTACGGCTTGAGAGGGAGGGGGGTATGTATGTACCCGGCAAATATAAGGGCTTTAACATGGGATTAGGGGTAGGTACCCTGTACACGTAGGGTTTTGAAGGGAGGTTGAAGGGGTATGTTACCTTCAAAAGTAGGATTTTAACGAGGGTCAAGGGGGTAGGCCCGGGTGCAGACACCCTGTAAAATGGGTCTTTAACAGGGGTTGAGGATTGATTGAAGATATCCTGGAAAAGCTTGGCTTTAACATGGGTTAGGATGTTAGTTAAAGTAGGGGCTTAATGTGGTCTTAAAAAGCTCCAACGTTCCTCTTAGGGCGGTTAGTCACAATTTTTCTCTAAAACTCAATTGTATTGTTGTAGCCAGAATGTTTCGGGTCAAGAGACCAACTACGAAAGAAAGTTATCAAAAGGATTAATGCAAATGCCTTTTATATGAACAAAATGTCATCTACGGGTTAGTTTCCTGCCCCTGCGATCTTATTTGTCCATTTAGAATAAGATAAACCATGTAACCAGGTCCATGTATTCCATTCTGACAGAATTTCAGATTCAATTTCAAATTAAGTTTATTATGTTCGAAATCCCGAATGTCCCCGGGAGAATCTCTCTTCGAAATTGTAATGTCAGATAGATACAAAATAATATTGATATAACTGAAGATACTTAATTTTGCTCCCGTTTTAATTAGACGGATTGACGGAGTCAGAAAATCCGCCAAATTGAAATCCGTCAAATTTCAGCTTGGAATTTTTGTCAAATGCACTTCAGAAATTAAACTTGTGGGGCCCCTTTTCCTGTCAACTGAGCATGTCATCAACATGTCATACATTATCCCAAAAGAAATACAGAAATTATCTTAGTAAATACCCGTCCTAATGACATAAAGCATGGGCTTTCAAGAGAATCTTTTGATAGCCCATGCATAAACATAGACAAAAATTTAACTTCAGTCCTGATTCCGCCAAATTAAATAGCCGCGGTGCCAATATTTGAAATTGAGCAAATTCGTCAAATTAAGTAGCGTCAAAACAAGGGAAAGATCAATACCCGGTGATTTCAGCGGGAAGTGGCGTTTCGTTCATTGGATGAGCTGCGCGCGCACGCATAAATGTGATTATCCAATATAATTAGGGGAGGGCTATTTGAAGTAGTTTTTGGTCTCAGGCGCGACCCAGGGCTGTTGTCTTAAGGACATTTCGTTGAAAATGAGCCATTCGGCTGATAATTGGTAAGAGTTTGCGATCTTATAATGTATAACTGTTACTCAGACACATATTTTGACACGATTCTGTTGGAAATAAGCTTTGAACCGAGAGAAATTCACGATTGATATGCACATTTTTGATTGTGCCATTGCTTTTCTATTGCACAATCCATGTATTGATAGAAGAAACATTAATAATACAGATTGGTTTACCTTCAATACATGGCAGACACTACATATCGGTCTATTAATACCAGTTTGTGCCTTAAATAGTTTTATATTTCCATCCACGGCCTGGAGCCTGGGTGTGTTTGTCTCTTATGTGTATGCTTGTGCATGGACTTCTAATCACCAGCAGAATTTAACATGATGCAAACTCGACATTATAACTCATGCTGTAACATTTTGACTTCGCTGGAAAACAATAGGAATTATTTTTCTTGCCAATCAATCATGAATCACAATCAAAATTTCAGAATGATCAATCAGGCAATGGTCCAAATCAAGTTATAACATTATATGATATTCAGCAAGAAGTCCGGTAGAAATACAGAATATTTAAACATCAAAGCTGAAAGTTAAAAGCTAATCTGTCAATTTTCTGTCTGCAAAAGAGCGTCCCAAGAGCGTTTACATTTGACACAATAACAGACTGAGGCTTTGATATCTAGGATTCCCCAGGAAAATATGACGTCATACTAATTAGCATAAGGATTTCCCTATTGGGGTGGGTCGAGCCTTGTTCGAAAACACAATCCATAAATACATGCTAATTTCTAAGGAGATAGGAAGTGTATAACGTGTTTATCGATTTTGTTTAAAGATTTAATCAATTATCAAATTGTTTAAGTGGATAAAGTGGTCACAGTTTTAATTATGTTATTTGTTCTCGGTCCTAATATGATTAGGGACCACCAATATGTATGTGACAGTTTTGAAGTTCAAAAAACGGGTAAAATTGGTTAAAGTTAATTGTATATGATAATCAGATTCAAAGATACACAACTAAAATATCGAGGAATTAAAAATAGCCTATAGACCATCTAGACTGCAATCATGGACTCTCTTGAAAGCCAATGCTGTAATCAAGGTAATTTTGGGATATCCCGTCTTTGAAGAAGCAAAAACGCAATCAAACAGTTAATTAGTTATTGTGTGATCTAGATTACAGATCAAAGAAATCAATTCCAAGATCATTATTACTATGTATTTAGTTCGTTGTATTTTTGAAAAGGGGTACAAGAAAACTATGTATTAATATATCAAGGGCAGGGTGCTACTGAATCTGATAGTTAAAGCGTATGCTAGTATGAGGGGCGACATTTAAAGTAAAGCATTGTCTTTGTCTCCCTCATTTTTACCCTATATTCAGTTTCTTTTTAAACCAAATTTACAAATATCCGTTCACATATATAAATCAGTAGTTGTTTATGACAAGATTATGTTTATAGATCATCAAAAATTAAGGTAGCGTATTCTGTAATTTCAACTATATGTTAGCCACCTCCCCTTCGCCGACAGTAATGTATTGTTTAAAATAATACTGCATCCACCGGCCAATAATTCTATCACCATTTGAGCAGTTTTCGTGTAATTTTTGAGCAAATATCAAATGTGACCTCACCCCTGGAATAATTCAAGATCATCCCCTTAGCAAATGCTGGATTCGGCCCTGGTACTTGTCAATGCGAAATAATGCAGGGTGTTGATTAGTGGAAATACCCATTTAAACAGACCCTCTTAATTTATGACAAGTTAACAATTAAGAAGACATGTTGCGATGTACTTTTCGTGACTCAAGTCGGATATAAAGTGAAAACATACTCTTTTTGATTTGATATCCCGTATTTAGCTAAAGCAAAACACGAAATATTAACAAAATTATAATTTAAATGTTTCCATATATAGCGCAAAATCTCACATGGCAATTTAATAACGACTAATTTTGTCTTGTGTCTAACCACGGCGTGCTTAGAGATTTCTAGACTCTAGTCACGCTCTGTCCACGCCAGCTCTAAGCACGTCTAAGCACGCCTAGAAATCTCTAGATACACGGAGTTCCTAGACCGACTAAGCACGTCTAGAAATTACTAGAAATTCCACATTTGATGCAGTGCATTGGTTTTAAATTAATTTAAATCGAAATAATCGAGTGAAGCAAACCTTCTCATGTTTACATTTTCCTGATATCTTATCAAATTCTTTGGTATCTGTAGGATTTGGAAGGAGCTGTAAGGAAGATTGCCAAGTTTGTTGACGTAACATTGACTCCAGATATTGTTAGTGACATAGCTAAGAGAGTGACATTCTCTGCCATGAAAAAGAAACCCGATATGTTTGATCAAATGAAACAGCTATTCACGACACCATATCTAAGAAAGGGTATGCCATTTTGAATCCACCAGAGGAAACAATTATCAAATTAAGACGATGACTACATTTTTTTTTCAAACAGCACGGTACAATTTAGTGTAAGACGTTAAATCAAATGCTTGTTATATAGTAATTTTTATTCGTATTTTTCTTAATAATGCCGCTATTCACCTTGTCTAAATGTATAATTTAATAGCAAGAAAGTTTGTACAATTTGTACGAATAGGCCATCAGCTTCACCCCAAAATTTAGGTTATCAGTATCAAATTAGGGGAATAATCACCATAGTGATTTTTGGGAAGGTTAAGACCTCTAGAGTAAGAAAATATGTGATAGCATTGCAACAGTTGTAGCTAAATGGGTGTTATCACCCATTTTTCAAAATGGCCGCCGGTGCACATGTTACATTATAAGAGTGGGTATATCTAAGTACACTGAGATGCAGAAACTGTAATTTTAGGGCCTAGGTTAAGGTTTTAGGGGTCAATGATTTCATTTATGCCGAAATCTAAGTCATCAAGCAATTACTTCTTATAAAAATCCAAGATGGCCACCAAAATGGGTCCCAAAACGAATACCGGTATGTAACCAGTGATTTAAGCTCAAAGAACAGTTAAGAACAGTGATTTTGGAGATCATGTCACAGTTCTAGAGTCAAGGATCTCATTTATGTCTAAATTGGAGTCATCAAATAATTACCTTTTCATAGAGATACAAGATGGCCACCAAAATGGATGCCAAAACGAATACCGGTATGTAACCAGTGATTTAAGCTCAAAGAACAGTTAAGAACAGTGATTTTGGAGATCATGTCACAGTTCTAGAGTCAAGGATCTCATTTATGTCTAAATTGGAGACATCAAATAATTACCTTTTCATAGAGATACAAGATGGCCACCAAAATGGATGCCAAAACGAATACCGGTATGTAACCATTGCTTTAAGCTCAAAGGAAAGTTAAGAACAGTGATTATGGAGATAATGTCACAGTTCTAAAGTTAAAGATTTCATTTATATCTAAATGGGAGTCATCAAATAATTACCTTTTCATAGATTTACAAGATGGCCGCCAAAATGGGTGCCAAAACGAATATGCACTGTAACTATTGATTTAAGCTCAAAGAACATACAGTGATTTTGGAGATCATGTCTTGGTTTTAAGGGTCAAGGAGTTGACTTATGTCTAATTCAAGTCATCAAACAATTACTTTTTATAGAAATTCAAGATGGCCACCAAAATGGATGCCAAAATGAATATGTAACTATTGATTTAAGCTAAAACAACAGTTAAGAACAGTAATTTTGGAGACTCTGTCTATTTTGTAGGGGCCAATGTTAAGATTTCATTAATGTCTAAATCGAAGTAAGCAAATAACTACTTTTTATAGAAATCCAAGATGGCCACCAAAATGGGTGCTGAAATGAATATGTAACTATTGATCTAAGCTCAAAGAATAATTAAGGACAGTGATTTTGGAGACCGTGTCCAGGTTTATGAGGCCAAGAATTTCAATTTTGTCTATAATTAAGTCATAAGATAATTCCTTTATTTTGATATCCAAGATGGCCACCAAAATGGCTGCATAATATTATCACTTTGGCATCCATCTTGAATTCTAATATTAATCACAGATTGTTTCATGGATTAGCTCTAGATACCTGAAATTCATGACCTCCTCAAAGTAAACATTGCTTCCAAAATTATTGTTCTTGGTGATCTATGTGGTTAAATGGATAGTTATATGAATTCATTTTGGCAGCCATTTTGGAGGCCATCTTGGATATCCATATAAATAAATGTTTGTTGATTTTATTAAAGACAGAATTAATCAAAAATGAATGTTCTAACTCCTCTATATGTTTAGATAATTAATCTTATTTTCACTTCGGCAGCAATGTTGGAAGCCATCTTGGATCCAAATAAAGGAATTAGTTATAGTTGTAGACATAACTGAAATTCTTGACACCATAAATCTTGACATGGTCTCAAATTACTGTTATAAATCAACAATTGCTTGTTATTGGCACCTATTTTGGTGACCATCTTGGATTTCTATGAAATGTTTGATGACTCAGATTTAGACATAAATGAAACCCTTGACCCCTCAAACCTACACATTGTCTCCAAAATCACTGTTCTTTACTGTTCTCTGAGCTTAAATCAATAGTTAAATATTCATTTTGGCACCCATTTTGATGGCCATCTTGGATTTCTGCATAAAGTAATTGTTTGATGACTTAGATTTAGACATAAGTCTAATCCTTGACCCTTTAAACCTAGACATTGTCTCAAAAATCACAGTTCTCAACTGTTCTTTGAGCTTAAATCAATCAGTTAAATGTTCATTTTGGCACCCATTTTGATGGCCATCTTGGATTTCTGCATAAAGTAATTGTTTGATGACTTAGATTTAGACATAAGTCTAATCCTTGACCCTTAAAACCTAGACATTGTCTCAAAAATCACTGTTCTCAACTGTTCTTTGAGCTTAAATCAATCAATTAAATATTCATTTTGGCACCCATTTTGATGACCATCTTGGATTTCTATATAAAGTAATTGTTTGATGACTCAGATTTAGACATAAATGAAATTCTTGATCCCTAAAACGCAAACATGTGCTCCAAAATCACTGTTCATAACTGTTCTCTTAGCTTAAATCAATAGTTGAATATTCATTTTGGCACCCATTTTGGTGGCCATCTTGGAATTTTTATTTAAAGTAATAGTTTGATGACTTAGATTTAGACATAAGTCAAATCCTTGACCCTTAAAACTCAGATATGGTCTCCAAAATCAATGTTCTTAACTGTTCTTTGAGCTTTAATCAATAGTTACATATTCGATTTGGCATCCATTTTGGTGGCCATCTTGGATTTCTATGAAAAGTAATTATTTGATGACTCAGATTTAGACATAAATCAAATCCTTGACCCCTAAATGTAGACATGGGGTCCAAAATCACTGTTCTCAAGTGTGTCTTGAGCATTAACAGTAGTTACATATTCGGTTTTGCACCCATTTTGGCAGCCATCTTGGATTTCTATAAGAAACAATTGTTTGATGACTTAGATTTAAACATAAATGAAATCCTTGACCCCTAAAACCTAGACATAGGTCCTAAAATCACAGTTTTTGCATCTCAGTGTGCTTAGATATACCCACTATTTTATTGTGACACGTGCACCGGCGGCCATTTTGAAAAATGGGTGATAACACCCATTTAGCTACAACTGTTACAATGCTATCACATATTTTCTTACTTTTGAGGTCTTAATCTTCCCAAAAATCAATATGGCGATTATTCCCCTAATTTGATACCGACCAACCCCCCAGGCTGATCGCCTAGAAGGTTATTCCAAAAATACTGAAGTAATTGCTCTAATTTTCCATGGTTTATTCTTTAGATTTGAAGCACTATATGATATTTCAAACGAAATAATATGTTAATATATTGTAACAAGTGGCTAAATACTTTAAATAGTTCACTCTCCTTTCGATGAATACCTGTGTCACTTTTACAAGATTATATTCCACTCGCCCTCTAGGCTTCGTGGAATATCTCTTGTGAAAGGTTCATAGGTATTCACCTCAATAGAGTGAAATATTTTTTCAATATAACGGGCAGCTTGAATGTTCTTTGCTTTGGTTAAGAGGGTGGGTGATTTCTCCAAATTAGAGTGGCTAATAGAGCATGTACTGTGGCACTAACCTTGTATTCGCGAATGCAACTAACGCCTGTCGGCTATCGGATTAACCTACTATTTTATGACCAACTCATTTAGATATGAATGGCAGGTACTATTCATATCTAAATGAGTTACCCATAAAATTGTAGGTTAATCCGGTAGCCGACAGGCGTTAGTTGCATTTGCGAATACTATAAGTGGTATCTTCGCTCTCGTGTTTTGATGCTGCAAAATACGCATCTAAATTTTGTACAACTCTGTGACTGTCTGTACATAAGATTATATTTATTACATATTATCTGGGTATCAGGCCTAACTATCTCAAAGAGCTCTGCGTTTCCATGGCTTCAATTTGTTCAAATTAAATCCGTCTCATCGATAAGGAGTTATCTCCCTATACTTAAAACCCCTTAGAGGAGTATACTATGATGGCAATTATTTCAGGACTTGTGACAACCCTCGTATACCACAGAAATATAAGGTCAAATTTTGATTACAGGCGTGATTGGAGACTGGAAGAACAACTTCACTGTTGCTCAGAGCGAGAAAATCGACAAGGCGTTACAAGAGAGAATGAAAGACGTAGACATCAAATTCAAATATGAATAGCCTTTGTGATTTATTGCATAATCATGCTACATAATACAATTCAATTCTATAAAAACAAATAAAGGTATATAATATTTAACAAGGATATATAACAAAGATGTATAATTTTTACCAGTATGTACGATTATTGCTTGAATATTAATAAAATTCATTTGAAAACAACTGTTAATTAATAAACAATATTGGGAGACTATCCTACTGTTGGCAGATCGAAAGCTAGTTCTAGTGAAGTTAATGATTATGCCAAACGTAGATAATATCAAACATAATCAAATGTCCTTAGCACAAATCGATTTTGTGTAAAAATCTAAAAGTAAATGTGTGTTTACAATTTTGTGTAAAAAATCTAAAAATAAATGTGCGTTTACAATTGCAAAAGAAAAAAATACTAGGATCGGCTTGGCCTCGCCGAGTATTTTTTTCCTCGGATAGGTATTGTGGCATATCCACCTCATGGTCAACCAGTATTTATTAAATATTGGCCTTTGAAATCACATCACATCCTGGATAACAAAAGATAAAACAAGCAGTGGACCAAAAGGCGGCCCAAACAAAATTAATATGCGTAGTCATTATTGAGTAAAAGGAGTGGTATCGATATGGAGAACTGAATTCAACAATGTTTTTCTCTTAAACCAATGATTGAAAACATTCTGTAAAAAACACGGTATTTTATGTTATGTTGACTGATTGACAACAATTTAAAGCGAAAATTATTTAGAAGTATTTTATATAACTGTTTTTGTTAACATTTTTTTAAGTGCAATTGTTCTTGCTCCTTTCTACCAATTCTTGAGAATGAAATAAAACATATTTCCGAACCTTGTTGGAACAAAATAACATTATATACAACATGTTTTAAGACCTCTCAATACTATAGTTATACAAAGGGATTTCTGGTTGATTTAAAAAAAAATATTCATAAATATAAGCAGCCAAATGGTTTTACCTGGTTGCTTTGGCGTTCCATTACATTACAGGCGTTGGCTTGGTCATTCTATGTTGGCGAGGGTTGTTACGCGGTATATGTCCCATGGTCGAGCAGTATTTGCGATACAGGGGAATATGTCATACTTACACACGGGATCTGCAATAGTGACTGTGGTATATGACATATTACGCAGGAGTATGACATATTCAACAAGTGATAACGTGATGGCCAGCCTCGATTTGATTGGTCGAGAGGATCTACTCTATATGTAAAACTATGTTGGATTACCAATATAAGTTTATAATTTGTGATTGCCGAGTGATACATCTAAGAGTATCACATGCTTACCAATACACCATTAACATTTTAAATTATAAGTCTGTGTCTTGTCTTTTTCGACTGTCGATTCGGTTAAAAAGTCACTAATAATATATGCCCGAACGTAGGTTAATATGTTTAAGTGCAATGTTCCCCTCACAGTGCGTGTATGTTTGTTTGTACTGTATTGTTGATTCAGTAATCATCATACTAATTTATAAACTTTTGTCCGTTCGTTCAATCTATGTAATTCATTTGCGTTCTTACGTAACGCGTCTCATCATTGGTTGGTGAATATAATCTCTTGTGGAATATAACAAGTGTGTATGTGCATACAGTATTATAAAGGTTTTCATCAAATATATTCTCCAATCAGGTCTTAACTTATATCCAAGATTTTTTAATATTTCCAAACAAGTAAAGTAAATTAAATCATGACTGCTAACACAATCAGTTTACTTGTAAGGATGGTGACGCGCTGGTCTCCTTTAAACCCTTGAAACTCTCCTCTGTGGTCGTGCATTATTGCCGCATATTTTTCCTCCACAGTGTATTTTAACATCTGTAGTCGGCTGTTCATACTTATTCAAAAGAGCATTTAAAGCGTTTGCAAATGGAAATGCCAGGCAGCTTTTACCATCATCTTTGTAGATGTAACACATTGCAATAATACCTCTTTGCTCGTTATCTTTCAAGTAGACAAGTGCTCCACTGTCGCCTGGTTTCATGAAGGCTTCTTCTGCATTGGCACTTGAAATTTTTAGGGAGTGAAATATGTCAATTTGCTTCTCTATTCCCCCTACATCAAACGTTTCTATACTATGGCTTACCAATTCTGGTGCGTTCCCTTCCGTTGCTCCGGTTGTCAGGCCATGCTTAAAAACAGAGGCATCCCCATTCCGTATCCTCGATAGCTGATCTACCAACTCTTCTTTGTTACTAAAGTACGGCCATTTGCATTGACATTCAACTGTTGGATGGAGTTCCTCGTGTAGTTGAACAAGTGCCAGGTCGTATGTAAATAGAGTGTCTTGATCGTCTGTATTAACCTCACATGCATCAATAAAGCCCTGGATTACCCCTTTTTCTTTCAAATGTAGTTGATTGTTTTGTACAGACCCACTGTGTGCCGGAGTTCCTTCCTCGCCGAATGAAAAAACATGCTTGTTAGTCGCTGCGTACCAAGGACTTGAGTTGTCAAACTTAACGAAACAACCAACTGTCCCTTTTGTTGCGGAGTAAACACCGTCATCAAGAAGGGTATTCATGGTGGTGTCGCTTGCAAAGAAAGATTTGTCTTCACCAGGTTTTAGATTCTTGAAGATAAACTTATGTTTACCGAGGTCAGCGTGTGACTCTATACGTTTCTGTATTTTTGATTGTGGATCATCATAAAATCGGATAATGTACCTTCCACTTTCTATATCCAGCGAGACGGACTGTACGCCACCCATCCTAAGAGCAATAAAACATCTTTGTTTGGTAAAGAATCAAATGTGGATTGGACTGGGTAGATCGGATTCGTGAGATTTTGTTGTTGTTGTTTTCCTCTATAAAGCAAAACCTCCATTCCACAGACTGTGACCACTTGTTTCTTTGAGGAACAGGTGTAAAAGGGTAGGAGGTCCCATCAAATTATGGTCCTACTCTCCATTGATTTATATGGTGACCTCAATACAACTCTTTCTCTCATTATCTTATACGCAATCGGGGCCAGTAAGGGCCGTTAAGAAAGGGGACCATAATCCCTGGGGGACCATAATTTCTTTCACACCGGAACAAAACAAAAACAGATCGTACTACAATTAATTAATGGATACTCTAAGTTTAACTCCTTTCCCTTGTACAAATATTGTAAATCGACTTTTGTAAGACATAATAAACATAGAAGTGTAGATAAAAGCTTTCATTCAATAGATGTGTAGATGTTCCCCAAACATTTCTGCTTGGACTCTGTTTGGATGTTATGTTTATATTCAAAAAGATGATATGAATCTTCAAAGCAGTCTGCCTTATAATTTATGAATTGCTTTAAATTATTCTTGGGCCGAATGAGATTGTGTATCAGAAGGCGGATTCCAGGTCCCCTTTCTAGCCCAAACAATCAAAATAAGATTACCTCTACGAGGGTTGTCCCATAAGTAACGCACTATATGCTCTAACTTTCTTTAATATTCTTCAATTCAGCTGAAATTTTGTGTATATAACAATTGAAGTTTTATCTATTATATCCTGAAGTTTCAGCATCAAACATTAATATTAAGTCTTAAAATGGTTGCTATAACAACATGGGGGTAGGGGTGGGTGGGGCAGGTACCATTTTTTCTAATTATGAAAAGATCTACGGTAAAGTGTTATTTTATTAATATTTCTTTCCTTTAAATGATCAAAATGTTTGGGAAATTGTTAAATTTATTCGGCATGATGTTAACCAAGTTCAAATAATGACATTTAGCACTGTGATGTCATAATACCACATTTCAATAGTCACGATTTCAAATATAGTCACAGTCAAGAAATTGCAAAAATGGCTGCAATTCTCACCTGATACCAGAAGGCCTTGCATTTGGTGGCCTAATTTCATACTTCACTTGGACTCACAGCCACGCAAAACAATGCTACCATGAAGAAAGTATATAAAGAGTATATACCAGATAGGACTACAATTATAGGGTGGCAGAAGAGATATAAAAGAGACGATTTGACCCTGGATGTCAACTCCAAACACGGGAGGCAAAAACTCCACAAGTCACAGTGAAAGAAATTGCCAAGAGTAGGCAATTTTGTAGGCATCAAAAGTACATAACATGCAAAGGGCAATATTTTGAGAAAATGTGAAATGTGACACTGTGCAATATACATCCATTAAATCTAGGATGTGCTCCTAGTAATTTAGTATCTTAAAATGTATTTTTGAGCATACTTCTTATAGCTACACAAAATGGTATTTGTTGATTAATTATTTCACATTTTCAATTTTTTATTCCTTTTGACGCGACTGTAGAACCTGCCCCGCCCTACCCAAACTCACCAACTTGATTTTATTATAACATCAATATAGTTTTATCAGTCAACATGAAAATTTTTAGAATAATCAAAATGTCTCTAAGGAACATTTACTGAAAGTTTCATGGAAAAATATCAATTATTGATAAAGTTAGAGCATATAGTGCATTACTTCTGGGACAACCCTCGTATTATTCGATACTGTGGACGTCGTGAGGCGACACCAATCCTCTTAGAAGGAAACCAATAGAAAAGAATTTTAAAGAAATTCAATATTTTGAAGATTCCCGACCCAATCCACCTTTCCACGAATCCGATCCACTCGATCCAATCCATACGTTAATGTTTACCCTCCGATCATGTAAAAGTATGAATTACGACCATAACATAATCTTGAATAGCCATAGATTGCAAAGTGGAAAATACCAGGAAAACAATGTATCTAACACAGTGGAGTGGGCAAAAGATAGAGTTAACTATAGTGTAGAAACGACAAATTATGCACACTTACTTAAATAATTCATTTTCTTCGGCATCAGTGAGATCACAAAACGTCATTGTCTTTACACTTCTGACTCTCTTGCTGTTAATTTTCCTTTTCGTCTTAAGATCGTAATCCCTACACATTTTACAAACCTTGCTCTTTGACTCCTAGAAATATTTTTAAGAACTTAAACAGCATGAAGATGAGATATATGTTTCTTATTTTATTTCCAAATGACAAATACAAGTATACAAATAACATAATACAACAGAAATAACACAACCAGAAAGTGAAGAAATTGTACAATGTTTTGGGTTTCACAAGTTTATATTTCAAATTATTTAAGCATTACTTTAGTTGGAAAAAAGTGTGGCAAAAGTTTTGAAAGAATGTTATGTTTTAATTTCCATTGATCATTTCTCTACAGATACGAAGCCAGAAAAGCGAGATGGAAATAACCCGATCGCACGTGTAATATTTACTTAGAACTGCCGATGATTTAACTCATGTGTAATTGAATTGTCTGCTAAAATATAATAAATACAATAAATTTTCAATAATTCTACCTTTGATTGTTTTATTTTTCTATTCTTGGCCACCCTTTTGAGACTCTTTCTTTTCGGCATCGACGTCGCAGCAAACATTATTAAGCAGATTTTTGATGATTATGTATCTAAATGGAAAGCAAAACAATAATTAATTTTGTGTTTAACTCATATCAACTTTGGTTAGTTGGTACACAGAAAGCCAAACATACATCAATAAAACAAATTTCCATTTGCCCCATCGAGTCCAGCCGTGCCCAATTGGTGTTATGTTATGTTGGGCTTTAATCTTCTATTTATGGTCTATTATGCGGCGACAATGACACAGAAATTTTGCTTGCTGAATTGTTCACCATAGTAACGTGAAAGCATGAACTAAAACGTGAACTAATGCCATTTCCAAAATCGAAGCATTTTTCTAAAAGAAGATACCCAGTTTTAGACCCGGAATGAAATTGATGCTGGACCATTTATAATATATATATATATTGTTGTAAATGGTCCAATCGTCCTTCTACTCATAAAAAATACTTACCTGTATATTGAATTGTGAACTGAGGAATCGGTTATTATCAAATCAATTCAATGTAATTAAAATGTTTTGTAACTAAAATATTTACCGGTACACTTCTTCATTACTTCAATTAATAAAATTAATTAACAGAAATACGAACCCCAGTTTATTAGTTGATGTTATTCAAAAGGTATTCTGCGAATTATCTTCTTCAACAGAAAAATAGAAATGATATAAATCACATAGGCCTTTGTTACATAGTATTATGATCTGTACAAGCCCCATCATGTCCAGTTGCCAGTCACCCATTGTTTAATTTTTATATTGATATTGTCATTTCAATAAATTTATAATGACGCAGTTTATGATCTTTGCAAGCCCCATCATGTCCAGTTGCCAATCAGCCGTTGTTAAATTTATAGTACTATTGATATTTTCATTGACAATTTATAATGACTCAGTTATTTAGATTTGTGCAGGCCCCATCGTGTCTAGTTGCTAGCCAGATATGTTTTCTTTGCACTGATTTATTGAGATTTTGGTTAAGATGTTAAGTGCTTTGATAAAAATGTTTTGTTAATATTTGAATAAGAATATTTATTTTGTACTTTTATGGCATCAATGGGTCACATTAACTTTGATCAATAATTTAAAAGTAGGGTCCTTGAATTCTATTTACATATCAAGATTTAGAAAGCACAAACCAAACCCGACCCAGAAACGAAATTATCCAACTATTGGTACATCTTATTCTGTGGCACATTGTTTGGTGACATAAATGCGGAACATATAAAAAGCATTTCAGCAAGGAGGATTGGCTCCCATGATCGAAACTCGATATTTTCCAACAATGAAAACGTCGAAATCTCGTTATTTTCTGAAATTATACACTATAACTTTATATTGACTATAAATTCAAAATAAATAGTTCAATAGATTCAAACCAATATCTCGATCATTTCTTGTGAGTTTTGGAATTTTTCGTTAGGAAATAAGACCAACATTCACGACTTAAATGTTGAAGAGCGAAATTAGGGCTGTTTAAATTCGAATTTTGTATCACGACATGCCCATAAAAATATATTGGACAGAATATCGATGTTGCACTCTGGGAGCCAGTCCTCCTTGGCATTTCAGTAAAACTGATCTTATCCCACGGAAATGGAGATTGTGATTCACATATTGATACTATATATAACATTATCAAGGGAATTGATTCTACTTTCTATAGACAACAAATAGTTTGTAAATGGGAGCAAAACATCCACAAGTGAATTCATTCTACTTTCTATAGACATAACATATCGTCTGTAAACAGAAGTAAAAGGCATCAGCGATCAAACCCCCTTTATTTACATTGGTAAGACGTGAAAAATGTTGCAAAAGTTGAAAATCTTGTAACGTCCAATACACTGATTTGTAGCATTGAACCTTTCGACTTGGCCATCAGTTTGTTGATGATATGAGCTACTATTGAGTAATGATAGCCTATTAGTATGTACACCAACTCTTAGAAATAGAATATTCGGCGGTCTTCGTTGAATTTGAATGCGAGCTGATATTGTATAAGTATGGAAACTCGGTGACTTGAGCGAGAAAATTGTCAAGACATTACAAGAGAGAATGAAAGACGAGGATATCAAATTCAAATATGAAAAATTTTGGAGATTTATTGCACAATGCTATATCAACAATACATTGTGTTTCACTTTCTAATAAAACTACAAAACTACTGTACATACTAATGGTATGTAATATAATAAATGTTAGGCAATTGCTTGAATATTGTAATAGTATGAATTTGAAAAGTTTTTTTTAACAAACTAAAAAGACTTAATTGTTTGTTATTTTTGGGGAAAAATCTCATTTGGGGAAAATTCTGCACTATAGGCTTAGATCGACTGATCAAAAGTTTGCTTGTTATGTTTTGGGATAAATCTCATTTGGGGAAAATTCTACACTATAGGCTTACATGTAGAATTATTAATAACAATTTTAGCTGGTAATGCATCATCTAAATCAATTCTAAAATACCATACATAATCCTTGGATTATCAAGCATTATCAAACGTTGGAACTATAATTAAACATGTTGTGCAATAATATGTATGCTTATCAAATGATATCACACATAATATAAATATCAATATAATGTACAAGACATCTCAAAAAATGTTTACCCATGCTGATATAATAAAATCCTGATAATACCTGAAATGTGGATAATAAATGGTACACTGCATTCTATAGTAATTATAAACAGTAATAACGAAGAAATTACATTTTGAGGCATTGAATATTTGCAATATTATTGAATTGTAAATATGCGAGATCAAATATCGTTCATCACAGCTTTAAAACACCTTGGATACAATAAATGACCAAAAGGAATTCTTCATTCAAAGAACTTCATTTACATGTATCACTCAATTCAGAAAGAAGTGAAATACACTTGGACCAAGGATGACCAAAAAGGGGGCCCGAGTAAAATGAATATGCTATGTCAATTTTGAACAAATTAGCTTTAACTTTTATGGAAGTTCAATATATATGGTAATCGTTAAAATATTACCCCCACACTCCCCTCCCCATCTCCCCAATCTCTGGCCGAATATCTTTCAAATCATACAGTTTTGCTCCATTCTAAGCACTTTTCAAGTGATTTTGGGTCATTTTGAGGCAAAAGTGACCCCCTGAAGTTTTTGAGCCCCACATTGACAAATCCTGGCTACGGGTGTGCACATGTTTTAAAATTACAAAACTGGGGAATAATATACATAGTACTTGTAGTGTTATTATCTACCTGTATATGTATGTTTTTTGTTGATTATTGATTGAACAAATGAAAACTTTAACAATCTAAGAGCACTGTTAGGTTTTTATCTCCATAAACATAAGTTTCCACTTTACATTAGACCCGTCCTTCTTCAAAGGACTTCATTTATGCTTTTATGAAAAGGAGTGAAATGCCCTCTGACCAAGGATGCATAAGACTGGCCAAATGTATTGATCGTAAATGATGGATGACATTTTAACCGCCAACATACCATCTTAATCAATTCCTAAATGCCATAGATAATACCTATATTGTCAAATATTATCAAACGTCCATAAAGCTCATAGCATTTTTGTGTAATAATATGTGTGCGTCTCAAATGTTACGGTATACAATAATGGCAAGAAATATATTTCGTCTAGTGGTACACTGAACGAAACGTTTATTAATTAAGAAATAACGGGGAATGTGCATCTATATTTGTCAGTGATTTTATAAAATGCTACACATTAAACAAAATAGTCATTTAATGAATGTAGGTTCATTCAACAAATATATAGCGTTCGATTATACATGTGACCTACTTAATATGTGGATAGTATTTTGGAGTCGTATGTGGTGGAGTCGTTGATGGTCGTAAATATCTCAATCTTTACGTGGTCAAAGAATAACATCAATAAAGCGTATTTTTTTATTATCAATATACACCCTATGCAGACAGAGCCTGTGGGAAATATTGGGTGCGGAGCAAATGAGCGGAGGGTGCGGAGCTAACGGTCATTTTTGAATTTAAATTTGGGATATTTCTGAAACTAAGCCGCTTTGGGACTTCAAATATACCAAGATATGTGTATTTGACACCAAATATCAATACAATTGTGAAAATAGTAGCGCAATTCATTCTATAGCGACGCAGTGTGCCTTAAACCTTTCCCAGACCTATATATTTTGAAATTATCCTTTTAATACTGAGTCCCCAGCATTCATGAAAAATGGTGGTCAAGGTACACTATCTATACAAATTATTTTTGCATCTTGGAAGCCAGGCAGTATCTGTGTGATTTTATAAAAATTCGGAAATGTTTTTCAGATATGAGCCCCCTCTAAATATTGGGTGCGGAGGAGCTCCATAAACGTACCTCCGCACCCAATATTTAGAGGGGGCTCATATCTGAAGAACATTTCCGAATTTTTATAAAATCACACAGATACTGCCTGGCTTCCAAGATGCAAAAATAATTTGCATGGGTAGTGTATCTTGAACACCATTTTTTATGAATGCTGGGGACGCAGTATTAAAAGAATAGTCTCAAAATATATAGGTCTGGGAAATGTTTAAGGCATACTGCGTCGCTATAAAATGAATTGCACTACTATTTTCACAATTTTATTGATATTTGGTGTCAAATACACATATCTTGGTATATTTGAAGTCCCAAAACGGCTTAGTTTCAGAAATATCCCAATTTTAAATTCAAAAATGACCGTTAGCTCCGCACCCTCCGCTCATTTGCGCCGCACCTAATATTTCCCACAGGCTCTGTCTGCATAGGGTGATATATATTGAGACAAACCGTCAACACCATTACTTAACATTTAAACCTGATTTTGATTGAAAGCAGAGTGCAAAGACAACGTACTTGTAGAGTCGATGATGATTTTGAAAAATAGTGCTTTACGTCGAAAAATACGTAACAAGATAAATATGTTATATTCAAATGTATTTTGAAAATGTTTTACATCCGTTAATAAGGCAATTTATATTTCAAAGAAGTGAATGGGGGATTATCATGAATAGTGCAGAAGCTTCTCGACACCGTTGATTTCAAGCATGGTCTCGATGATGGTGCCTTCGAGGGCTAC